CGGCTGCCACGGATCGGGTTCCGCAGGGGAACTGCGGGGTGCCGGGCACCCTGGAAAGCGTGAACCGCTAGTGCCACCTATACCAGAACCTGGTGCAGTAGCTTGAGAGCAAGCAGATACGCTTCTTCTTGGGGATGCTGTCCAAATGTTATCACCTAAGCGGGTTTCTTACCCACTTAACTGAGATTTTTTCTTGCTTAAGAACTTCAGAGGTAGACTGAAGAAGAAAAGGATATCTCACCGGTAGTCCAGAGGCAGCATGGAGACTCCATGTAACCACCTCTGGAGTCTGGGCCACATCAAAAGCAGCCATTTGTTCAACCCTGAAGCATAGTTAGGAACAACATAATCCAGAGCAAGCAGCTGCAGATGGAAACAAATCTGGATTTCTAAATTTAGAGTCTGTTGTCCAGCATCTGATCCAAAGAACTTTCTTGCGCTCCCCCCGCCTCCTGTTGTTAAACAGTTGCATCTTAATTCATTTTGTCCTAATTTCATTACCTTCTGTTGACGATACTTTCCTAAATGTCCTCCTCTTCATCTTCTTCAGCAATATCTGTCAACTGAAGTAAATTAGTCATGGCATGCAACATGAAAAAAACCTAGTGGTGGTGTGAATGAAAACTGTGTCCAGATGGCACCTGCTATTACTGCTCCCTTGGCAGGGGAGACCTTGGGCTTGAGGTCCGTCCAGTCCTGCTGTTTTATGAGAATGCCAGTGGGAATCCCCTGGAAATAAGAAAGAGCAGGGGCTCAATTTTTAGAGGGGCTACAATGCCTAAATGTTTTTTACAAAGTTCATGGGTGGGTAAATAGCTTATAGGGAAGAACTTAACAGCAGTAAAGATGAGGCAAGCTTAAGGTATCAGAAAAACGCAAGGTATGATTTCTGTGTTTCCAACAGGGAAAGTATTAGTTCCACAGTATGATTTATGTAGCAACTTTTGGGTAATGGTGTTTTATAACCCTGTATGCACTTGCAAGATAGAAGGCTTAAGACTGGATTTTACGTCAAAGTCACAGATAATTAGACTGCTTTGAAAAGCTTTGAAAGTATCTTCAAATGTCCTTCGTCATTTTGAACTGCCTGAATTCCATTAAAACCTGGCCCTAATGTGGAGTGCAGTTATGGCATGATATAAATAATACTGTTGTTCAAATGATACTCTACTTACTAGAAATCTTGATTTTCTTGAATTCCTTGAGTTCTTGAATTCTGGAATTCTTGAATGCCTTGGCTTTTTGGCACCTTTTGTGACTATCCGCATTGGGCTTGCAAGGCAATTTTGATTCCTAATCTGCAAATTGCTCTGTGTCCTGTTGGGTTTATTTAAAAGTCTGACTTGTGAGCGATGGTGGTATCAGAAACAAGGGATTATGACTTAATGCAATTACACTGGAGCTGAAGCAGAGCCACAAAGGAGAACGAACTTTTATTCAAACATCTGTCAGCTGTGACATAGACCAGGAGAGAGAAAATTATGATTGAATTATTTTGCTGTCTGATGTTATGTTACTGCTGCATTCTTGAACTACATTGAAAAATTAATCTAGACAACAGTGTATTGTCACAGGACAACGAAGGCACATCTCTCTTCCCTTATGTCACTTCATGAATGAATTTAGGAAATTTGGGAAAGAGCTTTTCATTTCAAGATTTTCTTTGATGAGGGGATCATGTTTTACCTGTTCTTTTTTTTTTTTTTTCAGAGTACTGTGGTGTTGAGCCTTCTGCTGTTTTCTTTTTGATAATCACAAACGAACATTTGTCCATAAAAATGTTGCCCTCATAATTCTAAAATATTTCTGATCATTAGTATACAGTGACCTCTAGGGTGATGTGGTTTCATTTATGTTAAGGATCTTCAGTAAACCAAAACTAATTGCTTGTTTAATTCTCGGAGCAATTAATGACAGATACGTATTTCTGAGATTAAGTGTATCTCTGTGTACTTCCAGAACAGTCAGCAGTGGGATGAATTTTTGAGAGGCTGTGTAAATCCAAGTCCTCCACTTTACACCCAGTTTGAGCTGGTTTGGCTATGGATTTACTTTACACTTCTGGGCAGATTATGCTGTGTTAGCAATGACACCCCACATGCCTGTTATACTGAAAGAAGAGGTAATTCATTTTGCCTTTGTTAGGACAATTTTTAAATTTTTGACTTAAAAAGAAAGAGGACTTGAGTGCCTCACCAGAAATGTCTGACTTTCCTTCTGCGTTACTCACTAGTGGTGAGCAATGGGAGGATTCAACATTAAGGTAAACCAATATCAAAGACGTTCAGGAATCAGCAGTGAAATAGCTTTTTACAACAAAGCCTTCATTCAGACAACTAGCTGGCAGCTTTGTTATTGGCAAGCCAAGCCTGTATAAAGGATGGAGGAAGCAGAATAAATTAAGCCTGTCATGTGCCCCCCCCCCAAAGAAAAAAAGTGTTGCTCATGAAGTTGCAGCCTCTTTTCTAGAAAGCAGCCAGCTCCAGCATCTCAGAGTGTTGATCTGGTATATCAGTTTCATATTGCTTATTTATGTTCAACCTAAATAAAATTCAGAAGTTAAAAGATGCTTTCTGAGCTTGATTTTTCTGCTAACCTGTGGCTGATAGTCCTTTACTCCTGTGAGTGGTGGTTGTAAGTGGCTTCTGAGTATGCTTCCTTGCTTTTTTTTATGCTGACTTCTTAGAAGCACGTATTCGCCAGATTTGGAGGTGTTTCACTCACTAAGGATAATGTATTCCATTGCTTAAAACTTTGCTGTGGAAAAATAGACTCTCTCCTCCCATGCCAGATGTCTCTCTCAGGCCAATAGAGCAAAAGATGAGCTGATTTGCCATGGATTTAGGTTTCTGAAGATGTTCTGGTGGCTTACAAGCAACAGCATGTTTAGGAACCTGAGTGTGGTTCCTCACTCATCTTCAGCATAGAGCTGGCATCAATTTCTGTGACCTGCCTCTAGGTGAAGTGGTCCTGCCATTGCAACTCAGGCTGCTGGAGTATAAAGTTAGTTCAGGAAGAGAATATCCTTCTTGCTTAGGGCCCAGCGGAAGTGAGGCTCATCTCAGCCCCTGCAAGGCGTCGATTGTGTCATCTAAACCAGGCAGGTGACATGAAACCACTTTCCAAGGTAGAAGTAGAAGAATGGGCTGTGCTGTTTCAGACCCAGGTTGGTTTCCTTTTGACAGTGATCAGTAAAGTAAATAACTGTGTGTAGACTGTACATGACTCATATATACCAAATAAAAGTTGCCCTGGCACCCTAATGATGGTGTTTATTAACCATCATTTGGGGTTTAGTGGGGGTTTTTTTGCAGCTACATGTTGTTTCTAAACAAAGTTGGTGTAGAGAACTGAGTGTATACAAATTAGGCAAAGCTTCTGTGCTAGCTGGGTGAGCAAGAACTGTTTCATACTTTCTATTGTTAGACCCTGTTTTCAGTTGTTTGTACGTTTTCCTAACTTAAGGCATTTGCCTTGAAATTTTCAGTGCCTTACCTACTACTCAGAAAAACATGAAATAAAAACTTTGTTATTCAGTCAGTGATAAAAAATTGTCCCACTGCTCCAATGAGCTCCATGCCTTCAAGCAAGTTCTTGAAATTAGAGAGGAGCACGTGCAAGGGAGAAACCCTACACTGGTGGTGAAGCGCCTTTTCTTTCCTTGTCCAGCTCTGCCCCTGCCAAGTAAAGTTACAGCCTTGTGTTCAGTAGATGCTTTTCTTTGCTCAGTATCCTTTACAGGATGTCCTTTGCAGAGGTTGAAGAGCAGAAAGCACCCTGGCACTTCAGGGTGCTAGGAACATCCCATGCCCAGAGAAGGAATGAAAATTAGGCAGGGAACTGCAGAAAGATACAGTCTTGTGGCTAAAGTTGTCAAATGCTGACTTGTAGAACTAGGTTTTATCCCTCTCTCTTCCCTGCACTGCCTGAAGGTTGCAGAGCAAATGACTTAAACCACTTCTCACAGGCCATGTCACTTAACATATCATGGGTTTGGTTAGTTTAACCTGAAAAACTTGTGGTCTGATTGGCAAAAGTACTTGGTACTTGCAATTTTAATCAATAAGAACTGTACTTTGAATATAGCAAAATACTACAAATCCTGAATAGCCTGAGAATCAAGCTCTGAATGTCTTAAATTAGGCACTTAAAATCAGTAGTCATTTCTGATGACTTTTAGTCATTATGTGCACTGCTTCACCAGTAAGCCAGCTTATGTTAAGTCTTTCACTCCTGTAATGATGTATTATAAAAAGAAACTAAAAGCCTATTAAGTTATGCAGAGTGCTATAAAAGGTGTGCAGTAACTGCCATCTGAATATGTATGTAAGTCACATTTAAATCCCTTTTCCTTAGTTCAGATTGAAAAACTACACTGAGGCTAGCAATCCTGTTTGTTGTATTAGTGAAACATCCATGTACATAGAGAGGTTTTCTATGCCCATGGGCTTCTAACATAGCAGGTATTTCCTGAAGACATCATTGAATAAGGAACAGTTAGCTAAAATTTAAGTAGATGCTGCTTCGCTTAACAAAATGTGTACTAATGAACATGTCCTATCTTTCAGAAAGTGCACAGTGGTGAATCAGTACCTTCACCGAGAAAATGTTTTATATAAATAGTCACTCATCTTCCCCTGATGAATAACTGAGCTTCTCTTTTTTTATTGAAGAAGAGTATGACGAGCCTCCACGGTGCAAGGCAGGACAGGATATTGTGCTGCAGTCACCTGTCGACTGGGTGCTTTTGGATGGCCGAGAAAGTTCAGATGACCGTGGAATTGTGCAGTACGAGTGGGCGCTGCTGCAAGGTGACTCATCGGTTGAAATGAAGGTACACGTGCATCTTGCACATGGCCAGTTACTTGCAGATAGTTGTGTTCATACGGTTTTAAATATCGAGCTAAAAATGTTAAATTTATTCAAATGGATATAGCTACCAGGTACCAAAATTAGGATGACTGTTATTTCACGGAAATACAGAGCAGCCCAGGTTGGAAAGGACCTCAAAAGATCATCTAGTCCAACCTTTCATGGGACAGGGAGCCCAGATGAGATTCTCTTATCTGTCCAGTCACATCTTGAAAACCTCCAGTGATGGGAACTATACTGTGTCGCTGGGGAGTTTGTTCCAGTGCTTATTTCTAGCGGTTTATGCAGTTCATCTTTATCCAGGATGTCATGAGACAGCCAGCAGCAAACAAGCAGATGCTGATACTCTACCGCATTTCAGCTCTGCTCTCTTTTGCCATTGTCTCTGCTCACTGCACTTGGTTTTCAGCTTCCATGATCCAGGTTAGAGACATCTCAGTAATTCAGTTACTAAAAATAATAAGGTATTTTCATCAAAGGTCTTCTGTCAATGCTTATAGAGAAACTGCAAAGAAATGTAAGACGTAGACCTTATTGAGATATCTTGGGATACTACTTTATTACATCCATACGATTTCTGCGGCAATTTGGTTTCAACTTAAGATGAACCATCAAGAGAGGGATTCTCCACCTTTGTGATGGAGATTCACCCTTCTTTGGGAATGCCCTAGGAGCAGCAGAAAAGGAAATGAAAAAGGTCTTAAACCCATAGTGTCTGCTCCCAGTCTGTTCACAGCCCACAGTATTCAGGGCACACTGGGAACTCCACCTAGAGCAGGAGGGACATGTAAAAGGGAGAGAGCATGGAGCATAGACCTTACTGTTGCTGAGATGCTGCCAATGGATAGAAAGAGTTTAGACAGGACAGGATCAGCAACAGGAACAGCCCAAAACCCAAGAGGCCATGTGCCGCCAGTACCTGACAGCTCCTGCGTACATCTGTTTGGCTCAGTAATATCAAAGATAAGATACCAATATCAGCAAAGTTACTCAAGATGTGTAATGATGGAACAAACCAGAGTTTCGCCTAACACGAAGAGCAAATTGCAACCTAAAATTGTCATCCATGGAAAAACCCAACAGAGCAATTGGTTGTTCCTTAGTCTCCTGGAGGGCAGTGTAGGTAATGTCGAGGTGATTGAAGATCACCACGTCACAGGTAGGAAACATGCTGCTGGATGAACCCAAAGAAGACAACCAGGTTTCTCTGGTGAATAGGTACCGAAATTTATGCACAAGTAACTTTTTATCAACACACTCCTCACAGAAAACACAGCAGGGCTATTCAAAAATATTGGCTAAGCCAGTGCTGCGTGCTTTTGAAAGTTCTGTCTTCTACTGCAAGATCCGCATCTCTGGAAGGGTGACTACAGTCAGCCAGTTCTGAATGACTTGAGGCTGTATTGCAATTTGAAACTGTCACGTCAAAGACCACTGTGAGTTTATTTATCTTCATTTATTATTTTATTGGCTTGAAAATTAAAAGGTCAGAAGGCTTTGATAAGGGGTGTTAACAGCATAGTACATAGAAAAGAACGAAGCTTTAAAAATAGTTGTAGGTATCATCTGGATAAAATGAACATTTTATTGTGAAGAGTTGTTAATATGACCCTTTGGCGCATTATTTTCTTTAAATAATAATTAAATACTGTTTAAATTAATCTGTGACATAGTAATATATCTAGAGTGAAACAAAAAGTAGAAGTTAATTGAAAGTTAAAGTTCATGTTTTCACTTTTACTCAAAGTCACTCCATAAAATAGAGGCAAGTCTTAAATCCATTTAAACTTGCAAAATTCACATTAATCTTGGTGATTTCTTTCTATTTGATAATGGAAAACAAATTTGACACACATTCATGCTTAAATAAATACTTCTCCATTGAGTTCAAATGAGAAGGGATTTCTCCTGCAGATATGTACCCTGATGATTATCCATGATAATTTAATTTTTAGAAATTGTGATTTTTTTCATACAATCTTCAGCTGCTGTCTTTAGTGCTCTAGTTGCTGTCCTGAAATTAACGGATTTCATGTCATTTGTTCTTAAAAAACAATATATGAATCCATAGCTACAAGGGAGAATGGGACTGTGTTTAAATAAGATAAAGGGCAGCTGTTGCACTGCACTTATGTACCAAAGAATAAATAGAAGGCAGAGGAGGGGGAAGGACTGCTATGAAGAAATCTTATCATATTGTAGCAGGAAGCCAGTAGAAATTTTTTTTTCTATTGTGACTGATTATTGCTTCTTAGGTAATTTTCTTCTTAGATTGCTATCCACATGCTGTAGCTGCGCAGCTCCATGACACTTACAGGCAATTATGGGCTGTTTTTTTTTAAATGCTGATTATCTGCAAATTTACTGTCTAGTTTGAGCCAAAATTCCTAAGAAAGCAGTTACATTTGGGCATTCTTCAAGGCAGGATGGAGATAAAAAGGAAGGCACAGAGGTCGCCAGGAGGAGAGGCGGCATATTCGGAGGTCAGTGGCATTTCTCTAGCTCAGCACTGAGAAGACAGCTGGACTCCCCAGTTCAGGAGTTTTAAATACTGTATTTTCTCTCACAGCAGTCATGGTGAACAGCAGCAGGTGTTTTTTAGAGCATATTTATTTCTGTAATACACTAAAGAATGAAATTCTAAGGGATCATATACTCCATTAGGAGGTAATCAATAGCATGATCGGATAACTGAGTGCGTTCATGTATATAGAAAAGGAAAGAAATTTCAGTTAGGAAATTCACTTATGACAAGAGAAAAATGCATTTATCAATACACCCTGCTGTAAAGCTAGGTCTAGGACTCTGTTATCGTATTTATTGAAAACTCTTGTTCTCTTTTAGGCATGAAAAGCAACTTTAAATAAGCAAACTGAAGATCTTTATTGGATTTTGGGTTTAATATTAAAGATAATCACAGAGGATTTTAATGTTTCAATTACTTATAAAAATAGCCCTGTGTGCTTCATTTGTAAAAATGCACTACATGTCCAATAAACCTGCAGCACTTTTTTGTAGTTACTGAAGTATGTATTACTGCATCCTCAGGCAGCTGGAGTTATTTGTGACTGGTCATCCTCACAAGGTTAAGAAAAATTTCAGTATTTACAAATATCACGCTCTTTTATACAAACTTACTTCTAAATTACTATTGTACTATGGTACCTGTTTTAAATTCTCATAAAATAAGTTATTTTATTAATTTCTTAATGATCTAATCCAATTTAAGTTGTTTCTGTGTTTGTATTGCATGACTTTCTGAAACCTAATGTTTAGGTCACTCATTATAGATGAACTTATTTCTGGTTCAGAGCAAGACATAGAAATTCAGCATGGGGCATGGAAAAATTCAGTCCAGCAATCTGTAAAATTGTCATACTGGACAGAGGTGGGCAGTTGTATTAATAAAGCGATGCTATCAGTCACCTTATCATAGATTAATGTATCGCAAAAGTAACTTCTGTGGATGCATGTATATTGCCTACAGACTAACTCAATAGAGAGCAAAATACTCTTAATAATTTACTGCCTACCCTTCTAAAATTACATTTCTAATTACTGAAAAATTGAGTTAAATGTATGTTTCTATTTATTCTCCAGAGCTAAGATCCACAGCTCCAGATAACTGAGTGTACCATGAAAAACAGGACATAAATGTTAAGTGTGTTTGTTTTTACACACGGATGCAAAAAAAAGATCAAAACATTACATGTTGATACACATGCTTGATTGGGCTGGCTAGACTTAAGTGTTTAATCTGCATGAAAAGCTTTGTACAGAAATGAGCTCCCTATTCCTAGAAGTTTATGGGCGGATCCTGTATACCAATGGGGTTTTTCCGCTGTGTTTCTTTAATCAGGTACCACAGCCAGGAACACTGAAATTGTCTCACGTTCAGGAAGGCGGGTATATTTTCCAGCTGACAGTGACAGACACTGCAGGTCAGCAGAGCTCTGACAACATCTCTGTGACCGTTCTGCCCATGGTTCATTCTGCAGCAGGTGAGAACATGACTCGAGCCATTGCCTGTGTGACACCCAGGGGGTGATATTCAGAGCAAGGGTCTTGATGGAGGCAGAAATCTTATTCTCCATTTCCAGTGTTTTATTTTGCCCTTATTCATTACATAATGACACGTCTTTCAGCTTTGAATTGCTGCTTCAAAGTGAGGAGGCAAGCGAGCATCACTTGTTTGTTAGAGCAGTAATACTTTCAGGCATTTAAATGTTCATCCTGTATTGCTAATAAGCACGCAGGGTTGGAAAAAATTAAATACTGCCGTATGTATCAGGCACATCATAATCGTTCGCTGTGTGGTCAGATGGTGCATGCAACATGACAAGGCTTGTGTTATACAGAAGACCCAGTTAAAATCAATTAGTAGTATGTGTGAAGCAGAGACTAATAATAATATTGACCTGCATCTGTGGTCTAAAAGATGGGATGATTTCTTGTTTTCATGCATTTAAGCTTTCCTGTGTAATGGTTGTTACCGAAGCCTTATGTTACTGGGGAAACTGAAACTGGAATTGACTCATCATTTTTAAACTCTGAGCTGAAGAAACATATAAGAAGCGTAAAAGGTAGAAAGTAAGTTAGATTTCAGTGGCTGTCAGTTCTGCACTCTTTAATGTAATGACTTCTAATGTGCTGCTCTGGCACAAAGTAAAAGTTAAGTAGCATTGTCGGTCCGTTCAGCTGAACCATGAAAACTTTGCTTTACACCAGTACAATATCTCTACGTGAGAGGGTAGTCCCTGCGGCAATAAATTGGTGTTACAAAAAAACAGTTATGAGTCTGCTTAATAATGCCTGTATTCCAGTAATGGATGATAGAGTTGTATCCATTAATGTTTAATTCAGCTAAAGCAGCCAGAGACGTTTGCTGGTTTATTTATTTGCTGCTGTGGGTATCTGTGGTATCTTTTGGATAGAGCACATAGAGGATTCGCTGTCTTTTTTCTTTTTCTAATTCCCCAAGTACACTTGCCATTCAGGTGCTACTGCTATAGTTAAACCGATGCCAGTGCCTTAAGGCATGCAAGACCTGTGCTATTGTTAGTGCTGAAGTTTAGGAGATGCATTTTCTGAGCATGATTTTAGGGGTTTTGTAGAGGCACCTGTGTTCCTGTCGTACTTTCCTTAGCATTGCGCAGCTTTTTGGTACACAGCAGGATAACAACCAAAGGCTGTGACTTCCTTATACGAATCGATTTGCTGTTACAACATTAACCAAACCCTGACTTCAATACTGCTTTAGAAAGCAATGAACTACACCACTATTGGAAAGACAAAAGCACGGATATAAACACCTGATAATTACAAAGTCAGAAAGGGTTTCAGGAGAGTTTTGAGTATGCAGAATGAAATGTCCAGGGGTGCTGTCCAGGGGAATCTCAATATTAAAGCAGGCAGCAATCACTTTTTTTCAGGTGAAGGTCACTTGTGAGACCGCCTGCTTAGTCCTGTTCTGGCATGTGCTGTACTGGGGTCAGTGGATTGCTGATGTGAATAAGTAACAAGCATTCTTTCAATATTTTAAGTAGGTTGCAGAAAACATGCCATAAAAGGCCCCACGTAGTCCATATGTGTTTATGTAAAATAACATACTGTCAGAAATACAGAATGGGCAAGTAGTAGGAATTATGTGTTGGAGAGACGCAGTTACAGCCATAGAGATTTCATTTATTTATTTTCAGGACTGCCCTTGGTCTTTTAAGCCTGGGAGGATCTCAGCTTAGGCCAGCAGAGTTTAAAGTGCTGGAGGCACGCTGCACAAGGTATAAGGTGTAACAGCCTCCAGGTTGAGTATTCCTGTAGTAAAGAGGTTGCCAGATTAGTGATGAGGGTGCCAGGAACAGCTATTACCTATCTTAGCTTCTGTGTCAATATAGCATCATATAGCTGAACCTGGCCTTTCTTCAACTTGCTGCCTTGTTTGTGGTCCTTCTTGACGTAGCGTGGTTTTGCTTTTTCCTTGGTGCTGCAGATTTTAGTCGTTGACTCAGTATTTACTGATGCTTGGATTTCTCTTTTGGTAATTTTGGAATTGCTTCTCAACAGCCTGTGTCGGGGTTTGCTCGCGCTACCAGTTTATCTGTGATGATGGCTGCTGCATTGACATCACGTTCGCTTGTGATGGTGTGAGACAGTGCCCTGATGGATCGGATGAAACTTTCTGCCAGAACTGTAAGTGCGCTGAGCCACAGTGTAGATTGTGAAAGTAACTGCAGCCTGAATGACCAAAGGGGAATGATGCCCCTTCTGTGGCCTCTCTCCCAGTGAGCAAGCAGCTTGCTCCCACCGTAGAGCCTTTCACTGGAAATAGGACATGGGAAGGTTTAATGTGCATATAACAGCTCAGAAATCAACTCCTGTTTCTTCAAAGCATATCAAAACTGTCAAATGTCCCCAAACAACAGATTTTGTGTTAAGAGTTCTCAACATTTAAAAGGTCTGTTCTATACTTGCATGATGATTCTGGAAACAAGGGCCCTGGTCTTGATCTGAAAGGTTGTGTCAGAGGTACGCTTCAAAGTGCAGTTACACACCTTGCAAGAATCTGAAACGCTGGAAATGTGAGCACATAGGGGAACCAGTTGATTCACCATCGCTCTGTTTGCTTTCATTTGTCATCCTCAATATGTGCCCACGCTCAGCTAAGTGAACACAAGTCATCAGAGGGTGAATTGGCACGATGGCTAACCACTTTCACTGATATTTCAGTTGCTGGATTTTGCTGTAGAGTTCATGAGTAGATTCTTGCTTAACAGCTGACAGCAGGCAATTGGTAACTTGCTGCATATCTGGAGCTCGCATTTCATCATATGTCTGAACATGAGGAAGTAGTTAACCTGCCTCGAGGCCCATATCAGAGCATCTTCCATCAGAACACTCCCATTCCCTTCAGTTCTGTACAAAAATTATGATTTTTGTTTCTGTTAACACAGTCAGCCCAGGTCGGAAGACGGTGACACATGCAGCTCTTGGCACTACCCAGCAAAGGACTGTAGGACTGACTGAAAACACAGAGGAGAACTTCTCTGCAGAAAACACCCTGAAAGCCACTGCCAGAAGTCAACCGCTTCTCTCAATGGATGCAGACATGTCTAACCAATCGCTTTCTCAGGGACCAAAGAAACAAATCAGCGGATTTGTGCCAGGTAAGAATTGAAATGAATTGGTTTCAATAAATCATTCTCTTCAAAGAAAGAAAATGTCTTGGACCTTAAATTTATTTAAATTGTCTTTTGGTGCCTGGCTAAGAGTACAAATTTGCAAACGCAGAGAATACAAAAGAAGTTGTAATAATTAAGTTACAAGTAGCTGTTGCTTTATAATTGTCAAGTCTGATTCTTACCAGGTGTAGAAATAAAGTTAAAATGTAAGAAAGCTAGGAAAAGAGTACAGTCTAAGCAACAAAATGTGCAGTGAACTAAATACAAATTCTGCCACAGGTTCAGCTGTGTAAGCTTTAAATCTGTAGGGGAGTACCTTCAGGAGAACATAACAAAGTACTTTTCAACTTGGGTGAGAGTAATTGCTTTTCTCCTGGTACTAACTGGTGACTTCTTTTTTTTTTTTTTCCCGAAGTAATATCTTGATTATTATGGGCACTTTTTTCTGAAGTGTGTCTCCAGGTTCAGTCTTTGGTAACAAGCAGTCCCAGGTTCCCAGTAGTATTCTCTGTAGTGGCTGCAAGCCTGTGGTGAGTCAGTGCGTAGTGTTGTTACAGGCAGAGTTACCAACCCTTGCCTCGGTAAAGCTCCAAAAGCTGCAGTGAAATTGGTGTTTTAAGGTTCCTGCTGGTGAATTAAAATGACCTGAAATGGCAGCTGAATGAAAGCAAAACTGTGTGCACAGAGCCCAGGGTGAGTATTGAGTTGCTTTTATTTGTTCATGGTCTAGCCTGATTCTTGCTCCCCAAGATGCAGTTATTTATAAACAGCTTTATTTTCTTGTTACAACAGAGCAGTGCTCGGTACCCTCTGCTGCTGTCTCTTGTGAAGGGCACTTCCCTGCTTGGCACTTGGGTATTTCTTGAGATGCTTGTACTTTGTTTGTGGAGAACGCAAAGGGAGTGAAAACAATGTCCTTGAAGAATTTGACTGCCTCAGTGAATGTGTAGGAACTGATAGTAAAATCCTCTCTCAAATGTTTCCCCCTTTTCTGGCAGCGTAGATGACCTCGATGTTCCTTATAGGAATGACTTAAAATTCTGAAGTCTGCCCCAAACCCTTCTCGCTTGCATAGTCCTGAGTGACACCTGATACGGGGCCACCCAGACTAACCATCGAATTGCCAAAGGACATTGCAAACTCCAAGGGAGGTCTTGAAAACCATTTGGCTTGTGAATCCAGAAGTAAAACCAGAATTGAAGTCACCAACTTTGGCAACCTATAATCAGAGGTTATAATTGGAAGTGCATGTAAAAGCCTGGCACTTTTCCGTAGTCATTTTCCACAGTGACTTACTTGCACCAGTTTTGCTCTCAAGGTAGCCTTTTGCACAGCCCTAGACAATAAAAGAAAAAAATTATTACAAAACTTTAAAAATGTGATGGGGCTTCAGTGATGAGAGTACTACCAGAAGGTGTTGTAATCTTTTTTATTTTAAACAGGCAAGATTTCCAGCTGACCATGTTTGGTTTTAATTCTTGTGGTTTTAATATTGCTCTTTTGACAAGGCTCAGTCAGAATTTAATTTCAGTTCAATGGTACTTAAGGATTTCCTTGTAGAATAGAAGGGCCCTGGCCTTACTGACCCAGGAGCCCAATACTTTTAACCAAAAAAGCAGCAAACAGCTCAGCGAGTTTCTAAATCACCTACAGATCAGTTCCAAAGAGGGTGAATGTGGTGGGACACGAAGAGGCGCTAGGTTCCTGGCTCCAAAGGGCAACTGCCAAAATCGGCTCTGAGTTGCTGTCTTCTCATGCAGATGCTTAAACCCCATAGGAGTCACATGCTGTACGTTAATGATTACCAGAGGTCCGGAGAGGTTCAGGTCCTGCCCCGCTGGCAAGCACCACGGTCTTTATGGAGTTGGGGAGGCAGGCATCTAACCTATTCCTAACAATCCACCCAGATCCATTAATTAGATTTCTCTCCGTCACTGCCATCTCGAGGAGGTTACAGACCAAATCCAATAATGAGGTGCTACAAAAATGAGAGACACAGAAACACTGGAGCAGCTCCGTGAAGCCCATCTGGAAAAACGTTCAGGAGGGCAATAATTGCTAGATGCATTTTTGAGGAGAGGCAAGCAGCACTGAACAGAAATCGTAGCAGCAGCCTCAAAAGTTTAGCAATTCCACTGGCAGAAATGGTGTTTTGGGATAGACTGTCTCCTGAGACAGTGCCCGGCTCGCTGCTGGTGCCAAGGCAGAACCTGTGCCTCCGAGTCACACTGTAAAGGTCTTTGTTGGACCAAGACAACAATGTTGCTTGTTGGCCTAGAGTTGACTTGCAAGCATCCAGGCTCCCGATACACTGTTATAAATAAATTTCAAAAATAAGCTTTAGTGATTTTAATGTCAGCATGGTGAAAAGCTGTCCACTTAAGATACATATTAAGGAATACGGCTTTACCGCAGCAGCACAGGTTCGAGCTTTTCACTTGAGAGCGCTCCATTCAGGGCTACATTTGTCTTATTTCTTAGTTGACGTTTGCTGATTGTCATAGAAATACACACCAGGGAGGAAAACGTGGTGCTCTTAGATCCAGTGACTGCAAGGCAGAGCAAGAGAAGGCGTTAATTAAGGGTCATTTACCTACCAGAGACAGCATGTGGCACATTCTAGGTGGCTGCTAGACGTGTTGCTTGATACAGGAGCTTCCAGCTGACTTTTAAAGAACCGAAGTTTTTCCAAAGAAGTTGCAGGACTGAGGAGTCACTTTGTTTTCTTTTTCACATTTGTTTTTATTACAGTGGTGGTTGCAGTACCGATAAGGACAGGTCCCTTCTGCTGCTCACCTCCTCATAAGCAGCTTTCATGTCTGAGAATCCAATAAAGATGTCCAATAAAGGGACCTTCTTGTCAAGCACCACCATATTTATCTTTTCTCCATATTAAAAGGAGCTGGGCAAAGCTGTAATGTTTTGGGCCGTGGGATAGTTCCTCACAGCAGGAAGATGAGCTTTCTGCCTATAACTAATTACTAAGGGTAATTAGTCCCAGAATCCATTTTCTTCTGATAGTTTCTCTGTTCCAAATTTCCCTTAACCTGCTTGCTTTACTCCAGTAACCTCTCATGTTTGGCACTGACTTGATAAAAGGTTTTGAAGGCTTTATGCTTAAAGTATGAAAATGTGAAAATATGCAAGTCCAAGGTAAGGACTGTTTAAAACTCTGCCTGACCTAGCAGGGGATCTGGTCACAGTAAAGAGGGGAAAAAAATGGAGAAAAAAAAGTCCCAAAAGTCATTCATTGTTGACAGGTGAATCTTGTTCTGCACTCCCGCCTTTCTGGTGGGATTCCTCAACAGCAGGGTGACAACAGGAGAACACCAAGGCCAACTTAGAGATAACCTCCTCAGGCACTCAAGGCATGGAGCCTTCTGCAATAGACTCAGGGTTTACTTTTGCCCAGGCTGGACAGCCAAACATTTTCTTCTGTAGTTGGGACTGGTTGCAGGAAGAGGCATTTCATAGAATCATTTTGATTGGAAAAGACCTTTAAGATCATCAGGTGCACCCATTATCCTAACACTTACCAAGCCCACCACTAAACCGTGTCCCTAAGCACCACATCTATACGTCTTTCGAACACCTCCAGGGATGGTGAGTCCACCACCTCCCTGGGCAGCCTGTTCCAATGTCTAACCACTCCTTCAGTAAAGAAATTTTTCCTAACATCCAATCTAAATGTCAATAAAGGAGTCCTTTCCCTTTGCAGATGTATCTCCATAGCGAAGTAACCCAGATGGCATCTCCTCCAGCGGCCAGTGCGGCATTTCTGCATGGCTGCCCCTGAAGTGCTCTGGTGTCCTTTTCCAGGGACGCTTTCAAGCCCAGCTGCATATTCTGGCACTGCTGCACTTGTAAATGAATAAAGCAAAAATACAGTTGCAGGAAAGGACGCTGGAGCAAGCAACAGGCTGGTTTCTAAGCAGCAAGAGCCAGTCTAGCAAACATGGTCATGCAGACAGGTTGAATTCACAAGCAGCCTGAAGATTTGCGCTCCCCAGCGTAGCCAACTCGAGCGTATAAATCACCGTAACAGCTTTGCGTTCCCCTGGCACAGGGTCTCTGCCTCTCCCCAGGCTGCCCGCGCCAGCTGCTGCGCAGTACTGTCAGGGCTGGGATTACAACGTTTGACTGAGTGCCCAAGCCTTAGTCATGTTTTTTGCTGCGGAGGGATCGACAGCAGTAGCCATAACCTAAATCTCTAATTTCAGTAGCTGGAAAGGGCTATAAATTGCCATTTCCTAGGCATAGACTAGAAAACAAGGAGAAAGTGAAAACAAAATGAAACCCACATAACGTGCTTTATGTCAGGCTCCTAAACCTGTTTGGGGAAATCTCTCTCTGATTTCTATTTGATAAGAGATAAGATGTTGAGCAGTATTGACTCCGATAGCCCCTCCACTCCTGTAAGAACAGCCACAAGTCTTAACAAAACCCTGCAAGCTTTATTGGAAGGATTCTGTTACTCTTCTACCCTTCCAAAATTCTCCTGCTAAACTTCTCTCCATATTCAGATATATTTGCCAAATGTCTTTACAAGCAGTTGACTTAAAGACTCCTTTTACTCAAATGGCAGGAAAACAAATTTATAAAGCAGACATTCAGATCTAGCCTTGTCGTACAGGCTGGAGCAGCTCTAAGAAGAGCCAATGTCTTTTGGATATTTCCAAAATAAAGACAAATAGGCATTTAATTTAATTTAGGGAAGACAGAAGCCGAAAACAGCTGCCGGTTTTGCTCTCAGTTACATTCAGGTTATTTTGCACAGCTCTGATGCCGTACAGGTACCTCAAAGCCATTACAGTTTGCACTTAGGATTTCCCTGAGTCCCCTTTACAGGCCAGAACAACTTAAAGAGCCCGAATGAGGAGGGCGGCTGCGGCTTGTTTCTAAGGCATTTCCTAGCAGTCAAAGTCAGTGTTTGCGCCCCCCCCCAGCCATAATGGCAGGGGCAACAATAAAGCCAGAGCCTGGGAGGCTGTGTCGTGCCTTCGAGTGGGGACATCAGCACTAACCTCATGCCAGTATCTACACAATTTTATGCCTTCATTAATGGTTGCCTGTATTTGCTGCTGCCACTGACAGGGACGTGTTCTGCAGCACGTCGGAGCTGTTGGGGGTGGGTGGGAGTTACACATGGTGCATGTTCCAAGCTAATTGACTTAAACACTTCCTTAACGCCCACCACTGTATGTAATTACAATTACAACATTTCACATTCCTGTTTTACAGATCGTGTAGCGTAGTACGTTTCCACTGGCGTTGTCACCGTTCCGGGGCTGCCGGCAAATACATCCCTGCACAAAGTGCCCTTCAATATTTATCAGTAAAAAACAAATATAGTCATTACATTTAAAAACACAGGCATATTTCTGATCTTTGCGAGAGCGCGTTTGGTGGATTAAGCTGTCGCTCATGCACAGAGTATCCCCGTAGCTATTGGTGTAGGACCTCAGTGGGAGGGCAGAAAGCAGGATGGAGTCCCCCGCTGAGTTACCCTTTGCTGTTGTGAAGCAGAACTGCAGCCGCCTGCACACCCCAGATGAACGCTTCTCGGCAGCAAACCACGCGTTGTCTCTTCTGGTGTAGTTACAATGCTCTGCTGTATCTTACGAACTACACAAAGCTGAAGTGACTCCGAGTCATCCTCTTTGAAATGTTTTCCCTACGTATTTTTATGTCTTCCGAGTACCTAAGTTCTGCATCTGTGTGTGTCAGGTAACAGGCAAAATTAAGGTAATTTGCACAGCCAACCTGTGCGTTTCCCACTTTAGAAGTTCCAAGGGTGGAGATCAACATGACTTGAAATGGTCTCATTTTCACCTATATATAACTGCTTTAGTAACATTTTAGCTCAGATTGGTCTATACATACCCCATTATGGAAGTTTGTACAAGAGAATTTATATTTGTCTTTTTTTTTCAGTGCAAAATGACCCACTTGGGTTTGGCTGAGGTGCGCTGTGGTTTGTGACACAGAATTGAACTTACATTTTAGCTTTAGTTTCACATAATTTCAAAAATTCAAGTTATACAACAGGAGTCACAAGTCTTAAACTGTTACGTTTTCTTCTAAATTTAAGCGCTTTCACAGTATTTAATTCTAGTGTCCTGTGGATAAGCCTTCCTAAGTCACTGAACTGCAATATTCATTTACCTTGCTTGGCTTTGTGCAGACAACAGTTCCTCAGGGAAAAGAACTGGTGATAAAAATGAGAACGGCATAATTGTGCCAAAGAGAGATCAGCTTGGAGGTGGTCGCCCAGTCCCAGAAACAGGTAAGACCAACCATGTGAATTCATTCTGAATTATGTTGGGTTTTCAGCCAGGTTAGATACTATACTAACTAGAGAGAGATACATAGATCCAGGTAGTATAGTCAAGAATGAAAAAATGTACTTCCATATTCTGAACGGTTCCTAGCCTGTATGACGATACAATTTAGTTTCTCAGTATGAGTTGCTCCAAATATCCTAAGCAACAGACTAGCTGTATTTTCAAAGAAAAACTTCAGGTTTTCTCTAGCAATTTCTCACTGTATTAAATAAAGTGTAATTTCTCATAACCTCGTTGCAGGTGCTGTGCTACCCTTAGCCTTAGGCTTGGCTATCACTGCTTTACTGCTGCTTATGGTTGCTTGCAGACTGCGTTTAGTGAGACAGAAGCTTAAAAAAGCTCGACCCATTACATCTGAAGAGTCCGATTACCTCATCAATGGGATGTACCTCTAAACATTGAATTTAGGTCAGTTGTTTTCTCCCCTTTCTCCTGTGTCCATGAACCTCCGCCTCTATAAAAGGACCAAAACCTTTAGTAAAGTTTCAAGTGTAGAAGAAGCCTACAAGATGAGGAACATGTTCTTCCCCTTCACTGATGAAATAAAAAAGTGGGTAGATGCCCGTGCTCAGAAAATAAGCGTTCAGGCTCCACGAAGTAGCTCCAGTTTGCTCTCGTGCAGAAGACACTGCAAGGTAGAGACCCCCCCAAACTGGATGCAGGGTGCCCTTGCCCTCCCCGCAGCAGTTGGGGTGCCAGCCGTGGCAGAGCATGCTCCGGTGCCCTGGGCCAGCAGCCCCGGCCACGCTGGCTGGGGCGTGGAGGGGAGTCTGTGCCGCCCTGTTCTGCTCAGCGCTGCCACCGCTGCGCTCCGCTCTGGGGACCAGGATGCTCCGGACCAGCGTGTTACTTCATTGTCCAGCAGAGACTGATTTGTGTACTTTCCACCTGATGCACTGGGAGTATTTTCATTAAAGAGTTTGTCTTGCTTTGTTAATTAAAAGCAATTGCTATCTAAGCACCAGCTTTTGTAACGAAATTTGAGATTTAAGGAACGAAGCCTCTTTTCTTCATTTGTAGTTTAAAACCTCTGTGCAGCTAACAGAGAGTCATGCTTACTAAATGCTAAAATGAAAAAAAAATAAAAGTCCTCAGCAGATCAGTTTGGACGTAGCAGTGCTCAACAGCAGCCGTGTGCCATCCCAGAGCTACGTCTCTCCCCAGAGGTCAGGGCTTGTTCAGCCTTTTCCACCCCTAGCTCAACACCCTCCACGGCATGAGAGCAGCACGCAGCGGCTTTCACCAGAGACGCCAGAGTGTGGGATTCCTGATATCCCATAGCTCCCTCCAAAGCTTGAAAGTTTCGATGACCTGCCCTCATCCCAGCAAAATTCTCATAGAATTAGAGAAAGTAATTGCTATGTGTGAGTGAACTTCAGATGTGTTAACGGTAAAATGTGTACAGTACCTGTTATATATACATATATATATACACACACACCCCCACTGTGCTGTCTATCATGTTTGACTGTCCAAGGATGTCTCCTTCATCATGGGTCCCAATAAAAACAGAGACAAATGAGGCATGCATCATTTTGTATGTCTTCTTTTGTACTTCAGTAACTTCAAGTCAGCAAGAATATTGCCATGGTATACAAATAGTTCTTCACGTTGCTCAGTCTTGAAAACTTTATGTAAAATAGTTCTAATAAACCTATTTTATTCTTACATTTCTTGCATTGCCTTTGTTTTCAGCTACCACCTAAATTTGGTGCTATGAGGCCATAGCATGAGAGCAGACAGAAGTACATTTCTCCTCTCTGTGAAACAGCCTTAAAAGAAGCTGGAATGTGTACGGTGAGGGGAGTTGTTGAGAAAGTTTGTTGTAGGAAGACTGAGAAGAACAGGGCGTCCACCTCCATGACTTCTCTCTCAAGCAGTACTTGAGCTGAGCAGGACAGCAGTCACAGAGCTGGCTGTGCCAACCTCTCAGGGAGCCCAGTTGCCAGTGCTCTTTGCTCGGAGCCCTCCTGCCACGTTAGGCAAAGTCTGGTTGCTCGTACTTCAGCGTTACATTGGGTCCAGGAGACCTTCTGCTGGTGCTGCCCATTTCTAACCTGCCTGTTCTTCCATCCCAGCCTACGGCAGGCATGGCATGCGGTGCGAGACCCAAAAGAGCACGTTTTAAATACAGCCTTCTAGGAAGGACGCACCGCCCATCTGGTTGGAGTGTTATTTCCCACCATTGAAAAATTGTTGCCTTGTTTTGTTTAGGGTTTTAATTAAACATCTAATTCTCCTTCACCATCTTACCACAGCAGCAAGCAAAGTAGTCTGTTCTCACTGTGCCCGTAGTGCTCCTATTACCGAAACCCGTTACTCTGGCATGCAGCCGGCAGGAGAACTTTTCAAAAGGTTTGGTTTTGTCCTTCGAGGCAGGACAACAGCGAGATCCCGCACAGAGCACAAGCCAGCCAGTACAGCTGTGGTGCGAGAAGCCACCCAGCCTTCCAGGCGCTTTACCTGACCGCAGGCTTTGTTGCAGCGCTGCTGCAAGCAGAATCAACCCTCGTGGATTTCATATATGACAGCCAAGAATAAACACCTCCAGCAGAGCTGCAGCGAGAGCAGCAGCCAGCAAGCGTAGCACAGGAGCCTGGCTATCGCTAGGTTAGAGTTGCCACGGTCTCCCCAGGGACTCTTTCTTTCTAGGAGAGGAGGTGGGGGCAGTTGCTGCTGTGCACAGCACCAGCCTGAGGCCTGTCACTTCTCAGGTAACTGCGAACTCCACAGCTGGACTGAAAGAACAAAAAAATGTTTGCATCTTACCGGAAAGCCTGGGCATCATCAGCTAGATGAAGAGCAAGACAAAGTCAGCAAAGTAACAGATAGGCTTGGCAGCTCCTGCAGTTAACACACAGGTCTCAATAATGGGTTTTCATTTAACAGCTTTCATGCTGTTTGACTTTAAATAAGTGATCCTGAACTACCAAGCCAGAGCCCATCTGGGCACCAGCAGACAAAGCTGTGGCAAGACACCCTTGTCAACGTGCTGGGGGTGCTGCTCTCTCCTCCCCAGGCTGCTCCCAGCTGTTGCCTCCCGCTGACACCACTCTGGTAGCCCCTTCCCAACCACCTCCAAAGCAAAGGAGCGCTCTGAGCAGGCACTGCTTGTACCCCAGCTCCATGGTTGCCTTGCTAGCTGCTTCCATGGCTTCTCAAGCAAACCTCAGGAGCTAGGGAGTTTTATACTGTGTTTATAACTGCAGCAGAAGTCAGATATTCTGTGTGAAAATCATCGCTATTTGAGGTCTGTCAGATCTGGTTTTCCTGTCCTAAACGCTGACATGTGTCTGTCCACACATCTGGGAATATGCCCAGTCCACCTATTTTTACTACTGGCATGCTTCAGACAGATAAGCAGAGAGTATTGATTGCCCTGATATACCCGTGGATATTACTCCTCTGTGTATTAGAAGAGGCCATTACAATTTGTTTTGTCAGTGTATTTTAATGTTGATCAAGGTAGGTATTTCAGTCAGATTGCTTTTTATATTTTTGTTTTGCCCTTCAGACCAACTTCCGTACACTTAAGGGTACACATTATTTCAAAGTTATGAGTCAATACTTACCTGATTTTTATCTATAATTAGAAGTCAGCTTTTTTCCATAACGTGGGTTACTTGCTGCCCACTTTTGCAAGGGGTCCTAGACTGAATATCCCCGCTGCAGTCTTTCCATAGCACTGCAGGACTATAGCAGGGGCAGTTCCAAAAGCACATTTGCAAAACAAAAAGGCTGAAATAGGTCAGTGTGATGCTCCATTTGCTTTTTAAATCCTAGATAAAGCATAAGAGTTTCAATCCCAAACTCCACAGAGTGAGTCGAGTCAGCGGCATGAACCAATAGCAACACAAACACGCCACCCCAAAACAAAGAGAGCGCCTTTCTAGTAAGCCCCAACAGAATTCACAGTCATGCATCACTGAGGTCTGCACTTGCTGCTTTCATGAGCATCAGGAATTGGCATTTTTCGGTTTCTAACAGCAAAAGATGGAAGACTAAAAGGGAAAAGCTAGAAAAGATTCAGAGGCAGCTGATGGGCATAAAGACCAGGCAGAGGCAATAAACACGTAGTAACTGGTACAAAAGAAAAAAGCCCACGAAACAATTGGCATGACCCGAGTAAGAAAAGGAAAACATGCTGTAAAAAGGACAAAAAAAAAAGGGTAGAAGTACCTTTGCTATATATTTTTCAACTAATCGTTACCTAAGAGAAGTCAGAAAGTGAGAATGGAAGGCTACAAATACATTTGTAATGTAACAGAAACACTTGCTGAACATCGCATTCTGCACTGGAGCTCTGAAACACAAAGGGAAGTCTAGAAGAACTGAATCAGCACGAAAAGCCGGCTCAGAAACAAGTGTTTAAAGTGACCTGATAGAATTTTAATTTTGGCATTTGTAAGGCTCCTCGCTGACAGTTATGAGCCACTCATAAATCAACGAAAAGTGTATTTTGAGCAGGCTGAGAAACAACAGACAAGGCAGAAAGGGTCAGTGCTGTGAAGGCCTGAGAATCAGAGCTTGCAAGGATGTCCTCAGCTCTTTGGCCAACAGAAATGTTTAATCCCATGTTAAAGAGGGCAGAGCAAGACATTTCGGCATAGTTCTTCATGACTACCAGCTCCTGATGCACAAGAGGGACTCATTAAAGGTGCCTAAATTCAGAGCAAGTGACTGAATGACACAGATACAGAGGGAGCAGGAAACTTGAATGGGTGCAGGACTGGAAAGGACTTGAAAGCGGGCAGCACAATGAAAGCAGGCGTTATGGGGAAAGAATCCCTGAAGGCTGATTCTGTGCACAAGAGACGACCTTACTGAGGCTGCCTCTATAGCCAGAGGACAGCAGCTCCTCCAGAGCTCTGATCACAGCAGTAGCCTAGGCAGAGGCTCCGAATCACTCATTTTTCTAATGGCCCAGAGGCCTTTGAGAGTGCCCTCCTAGTCCATAAGGCACCTGAAATAAACCTCACTGATTAACCTCAGATGCACCCTTCTCCATCATAGCAAAAAAAGGATTTGGCAGAACACAGCGAACAAGACACTTAACCTGTTTATAACAAAGACAAGTTCGTAAGATGCAAACATATGCCTAAATATGGCCGAAAAAAAGGACTTCAGCTTCTCAGTAGCATCAGGGAATGTTTTCAAGAGTATCTATCGGGTCAGTTCCTCAGAAGCATATGATGAAAATGGCTAGACTACAAAGAAACATTAAAATACGGAAGTGAGATCTCAGAGAAACTCCATCACCAGTCCTTATGAAAACAGTCTGTTGTTGCTAAAACAGAGTTTTGTTAAAAAGGCACAGGACAAGGTCTCTCAAGTTTTCAAGGTGTGATAAGATGCAAAGTGAGTTCTTTCCACTTCTCCTTCCTGAAGCTTTCAGGCAATTTTCAATGGGCAGCTGGATCTCCTCTGTACGTATTTCAGCAATAACTACGTCCATTCAATTCACAGTTTGAAGAAATATGATTTTAGTTCTGAGCCCATTCTGCTGAGCATCTCATTAGTACCCTGCCAAGAGCACGAGGGAACAATAACAGCTTTGCATAGGAAAATTCAG